CGCTATTTAAAACCTTGGTAAGGATATATTCTTGATGAATGAATCTGCCACATCGAGTATCATCTTGAGGATCAGTTTTTATTGAATTTCCATCCATCAGTGACTTTGTTTCCAACCAAAAAAGCTAACATATGATCAGTGATGTTTATAGCTTATAATGTTATTGATTATATTGATTTCCTGCCAAACATCATACAACACCAAAGATAAAACCAGTATAGCATAAAACAATCACACCAAAGGCCATAAACATCATACAACAACTACAAGTATAAGATATTCAACCATCATACCATAGTCCAAGTCAAAAGTCATGTATGGCCATTCACAAAAACTTTCAAAAATATTGAAATACACAATTTTTGGTGTATCCAATAGACATTAAAAGAATATAAAAAAAATAATTATGGCCATTTTTAGAGAAAATAAAAATAAAAGTACCTCTAGCTCAGCTCACACTCTCTGGAATTGCACGGATAAATCACACTCTCTGGAAGAAGAAGAAGAAGAAGAAGAACCTTTGGCGTCCCGAGGAGGACCTTTGCCAGAAATTTCAACCTCATCGGCCGCTCGTGGCCCACACGCCCCTCGTCTCCGCTCCAGTGCCGGGATTCGTGTTTCAGCCGTGAAGCTCACCTTCAACGCCATTTGTCGCCGCCTTTCAGCCGCCGACTCCTGATCTAATTTGGTATTCGAGTTCTTAATTTCTGCTCGTACTGATATTGTCTAATATGTAGTCCAATTCGTACTTTTTTTCATATGTTTCATATGATATTGCTGGAGGTTATTTATTTATTTATTTATTTTTATATGAACCGTACGAATATGCATTCTTCTATTAGTGTTGTCTTATCATAAGATAATTATAGTATTTGGTCACCGTCTATGAAAAGTTTTTGATTAGGGATAAATTATGAAGAATTGTGACTGATGATGTACTGCCACATGTTCATCCGTCTTGTACATGGGATACCAACCCCATCCCACTGGTTCTTACAGCATACAGTCATAAACTGGAGGATTGGGATAGTGACAAACAAAGAATGCTCTTCAACTTCAGCAGAAAAGGCAAACGTGTAAAGAATCCAAAAAATGGATGACATTCATCTATCTATAATCTATATCTATCTATAATCTATAATCTATAATCTATATCTATATCTATAACTCTCTTAAAAGGATTAGTAGTTTCTTGAAACTTTTGAAGTGCCAAAAATGCCCTTACTAAAGATAAGCTTAAGGTTATGAATGTAATTTTCTTATTAATATTAAGAAGTTACAACTAACAATATTTGTTAAATTTTTTAACTTTCATTTTTTAATTTACTTTTATTCATTATCTTTTATTTTTTATACTTAATTATAGCTTAAAATTTTTACACATACAAAAATATTATCTACACAAATTGATAGAATTTAAATAAATAATATATTTTAAATTATATTAATCATAATTAGTCTACATATGACGTATGACGTTAGGTTTCAGTTTGGTTATTTTAAATGTAGTTTTTAAATGTAAGGGAATATATTATTTTAAATAAAATATTTTTATTTCATAAGTGTAAAATATATAATGCATCAATGAAAATACAATCTATAATTTCCAACTATCATATTGTTACTAGAGATTTTTTGTTACAATATTAAAAAAAAAAATAAAGAGGAAAAATTTAGTGGATATGCAAATGCTTAAGAATGATTGAATGAAAAATAATTTTTCAACATACAAACTGACAGTTTTTTTGTGAAAAAATGTTATTCGTTAACTGAATAATAAATAAATACAAACAGATTATCTCACGAATATATAGATTTTAAATAATTTATTTTTAATTATCTTATTAAGAATTAATCTACGTATGACGTTAGGATTCAATTTGGTTATTTTAAAGGTAGTTTTTAAATGTAAGAAAAAATATTAATTTAAATAAAATATATTTTTATTTCATAAGTGTAAAATATATAATGCACCAATGAAAATATCATTTCTAATTTCCAACTATCATATTATTACTATAGAAACTTTTTGTAATAGTATTAAAAAAACTAAAGAGGAAAAATTTGGTGAATATGCATATGTTTAAAAATGATTGAATGAAAAATAATTCTTCATCATACAAACTGTCAATTTTTTTGTGGAAAAAAAGTTATTCGTTAAGTGAAAAATATATAATCTTAAAAATTTTGTTTAAATTATTCACTAAAACAATATGCATAATACGATTTAAGTTTACCTGTTAATAATAGTATGTATAACATAATGTTCTTTTATGATAATATGTGTTACATAAATTAATATACTATCTATTTTAATTGTAATATAAATAAAAATAGAGTAATTATAAAAATTAAATTAAATAACTAAAACTCTATTTTAAATCTTGAATTTCAAAAAATGTGTACTTATTAAAAAATAGTTACAATTAAATATGCTAAATAAAAGTAAATAGTACATTTACTTTAATTTATTGTCATTAGCCACTCTTATTTATAAAACTAGCATTAATTTTGTGCACATGTACATGTTACCAAAAATAAATAAATATCATATATAAAAATCATAATTGAAACAAAATTTTACTCAATAGTATTTATAATTGAATTCAATTAAAGACCCTTAATTGAATTTTTATACTTCGATAAAAAAGAACAATAGAAATAAAAAACCTATATATTAATGACTTATTATATGAATATAATGAATAATCTAATTTTTATATTAATGTTGTATTTATATTGAAATTATTACCAAAGTAGAAAAAATAAAAAATATAAAATGAACAATGTAAATCTTATATACCACATAAATTGATCTTTTTTCAGAGAATTATCGAACAAATGATATACATACTATATTTATATAATAAAATACTTGTACATTTAGATTAGTTCATTGATAAATTTTCACTTATAATTAAGTAATTATATTGGTATTAATATATAAGAAAAATGTTTCGTCATTATCAAATATGAATATAATTTTTTTTCATTTGCACTAATGCAAGTGTAAGCGTCCGGGTCCGGTTTGGAGTAGATCGATTCTTGTCCT